CTGGCTGCTACCTAGCAAAGGTCTCGATGCGAACCACATAGAAAACACCGCTCCTATATTCTTGGCCATGTATTTGTTTGAAAATGTTTACCTAGAAACGGGGTTTTCTGGCTCCATAACTTAATGTTTTGAGCAAATCCGTCACAGTATCTATTTTAATCACCAAGTACATTCACATTATCAGCACAGACCAGTAGCTGATGTGTCCCATTTGATTTCAGTCCCACCTGGTTTTCTTAGACCTTCCTAATGACATATTCTTAAGAAAATTTTAAAAGTAGTGACGATAAAACATCTCCTTGTTTTAGACAATTTCTAAATAGGAAAATTATCAGACAAATATTTACCTATACGGACCTTACTGTAAGTTTCATTTACACACACTTCAATCAACCTAACTAGCTACATGAGTAACCCAAAATCTATGAGAATACTGTACAATACTTTCCTCCTAATTGAATCATAGTCTTTCTTAAAGCCAACGAATAGCTGATGTACCGTGCTGAGGTCAAGAAAACATGGATCTGAACATTCACTCACCCATACGTCTTCATTGCTTAGTGCTTAGTTACTTTAAGCACAGGGATATCCTTACCTTTTACACCACTGCTTGGAAAGACAGTTTTGTCATTTTTACCTCTGAACGGACTCATATACAAGCGTGCGCACTCTTTCAAAGAAAAGAAAGCATTCTCATTTCTTTCCAAAGGCCCTTCACTAAAGACACACAGGGCAGCATCTTACTTCTTCAGTTTTACTTCATATTTTTCTTTGTCTTGTTAATCTAGCCTCTGCAGTCTAGTGGTCAGAGTTCCTGGCTGCAGATCTTGAGGTCCGGTTTCGATTCCCGGCACTACCACATTTTTTCTGAGAAGTAGTGGGTCTGGAAAGGCGTCCATTCAGCCTAGTGGGGATAACTGAGAAGCTATTTCAAGGCAATAGCGGCTCCGATCTAGAAAACCGAAATTAACGGCCGCGTGGATTCGATGCGCTGACCACGCGACACCCTCTATCCGCTATAGTTGGTACTAACTTCGACGAAAAGCGACGGACGTTCGGTCGGCATAGTTCTCTTGCGGACTAAAGCCACGGAGTTTATTTGTTTTGTTTTTCGTTAATCTAGTGTATATTTCAATGCAGTTGCAGTAAAAAAAAAGCAGCGTAAATATCAGAAACATCAGTACCGGTTTACGTCTTGTTTACAGCGGTCTCTCCGTACACTGAATGAAAACGCTCAAAACATTTCGAAATTGTGGTTCGCCAACACCTTGAAAAACATAAAATTTTTAAGACTTCGAAGTAAATGTGTTCAGAATTATTTCTGTGTTGATCTAGAAGCGCTAAGGTGAGTCAATTCAAGCTGGTGTGTGAAAGGTGCGAAAGTGACATAACGATATGATGTAAGTTGCGAATCGTTCATTTTGGTTTGTTAAGAATGTGGTTCGTCACAAGATACAAAAAAATAAACAGACATGTTGGATGACAACGGTCAGAGTACGAGTATTCTTGATTCTTGCAGAGAGCGGAATACCAATACAGGCATGTAAGTGTCAAATTAATTTCGTAAGATGCAGTTGAGATTATAAAGGTTGATGTATCATCATTAGGGATACTGTTAGGCTAATGTGCCACAGATTTGGACTGCAACATCTAGACCCAGTTCAATCAATGGAAACCATAATCTGCACTCATTTGTGTTTTGGTGTAATTAAAAGTTTCATTGAGATATTGCAAATGGTACGCATTAATATGTGTATTATACTGGACCAAGTAATGGCGAGTGCAAGAAATATTACAAACATGTGTTTCCTGTGTTCCACAACGAAATCGAAGAGTTTTCCCTCTGGACCATGAAACTGAAGTATGTGTGAAGGAAGAGTACATGATAAAATTGATTTAACGAAAGTAAGTGAATATAAGAATAGTGGGTGTGTAGTGAGGCAATGTGTCTTTGAGGTTATTCTTGCACTATTATTAATAATATTTTGTGAAGTATGTATAGTGATTTGCACAAAATGTGTTTTAGTGGTTATTTGGATAGAGAGTGAATTAGATTTCATGAGTGCATATTTCGTATGACAGAAAATAGGGTGTAGTTTTGGTATGTAGCCTCTCATTATTACAACTGAGAGTAGATTATTAGTCACAATGATATACTTCTTTTTTGCATTAGTATAAGTACTTGTAAGAAGAGTGTGCAAACTGAATTCTAGTTCCCATTGAAGAAGTTAGTTTTTGAATTTATATCCTAGTTCTGTGTGACAGAGAGTGGTGGGTATAACGTATGTTGTTTTGGTCACAATAATGTCCAGTGTAAAGTGATGTTTAAAATCTCTAGTGTGAAGTTATATTTTTGTGTGTAATATATACAGTGATGTGCACTGAGGTTTTGTAGTGTTTTCAAGAATGTTAAGATTTCCCCCTCACCCACAAGGGATTGAAAAGTTTCCCCTTTTGTGTACATATCTTGTTTGCATGAAGAATTCTTGCTTATAACAAGGTGGTATGCTAAGTCAAACACATGTTGTCATTGGTGTTATGCTGGCAATCTGTTCAATGACAGTGTAAAATGTGCACAGTGGTGTGCAGAGTATGTGCTATAGCATGAAGAATGATGGTAAGTTATTTGCAAGCAGGATGTGTATTTCGGTGTGACAGCCAACAGATTGCATTCCTGCCATCTAATCTTCCAGGTGTACATGTGTTAGCAGGTTGTATAGAGCATCAGGGAATTATTTCCTTTCCATCTACTAAACTGCTTACAGAATAACATTGTTTACAGGAAAGCACGAATTGTTTCAGCTGACATTCTTGGAATTGTATTTTATAATTTAGTCTAGAACATATATAGTGATGTGTCTGCTTTTTGTTTTAATGCTTAGAAGAATGTTGAGTGATATTTTCTTAGGTTCAGATCGTAATCAGTGATTTCTCTATCTAACATTTGAGCAATAGTATTGTGGGGTGGATAACTTTTATATAAAGTATATGTATATTCTTCACATATGTCGAAAAACATAATAAAGTTAATAATGGGAACGTTCAAAAAGAGAATATTTCGAGGACTTTTGGAAATTGTAAGAATCAATGAAGATAATGGTGATATCATGCACTTGAGAGCGTTCTGAACTGTCAGTATTTCGGAAAAAATGCACCTACGACCACTATAAATATCGTTACTATATTCCACGTTTCACAGAATACGTACAGAGATTAACAGAAAAATATATGCAAGAGTATATCATGTGAGAAAATTCGGAAATAAATTGTCCGGTATAAATATATAATTATTTCAAACGCTATCAGACACATTCAATCGTAAGATATTGCCGACGCCCTAACAGTGCTCGACTGATCAAACGATGCGCAGTAGTCATTTGCGCACATCTGTCAAATGTACACTCACAACCTAACATTAGCGTAAATTACCGAACTTCGCCCCCTCCAAGGTACAAATGGATGCGCAGTAGTCTACTGCGCAAACCTAACCTAACCTAACCTAACATAGGCGAATGGTACCCCTGAGATACAGGTGGATGCGCAGTAGTTCATTGAACACGCCTAAGAGTGACGTCATTTACGAAGCTGCTATTTAACGGAACGTAATATAGGACTGTCGTAACATGGACTATAAATCGAAATATTACGTTACTTATAAAATTGAGCGTGTTGACTCTTTTTCCACACATAATATCAATCTAATCCACTTATATTCCAAGGTTATATTGCTACGTGATAGCTTAGATTGTCACCATCCCCCACGGTGATACAAATGATTACTGAATATCAAATATTAGGGCATTATGCTGCCCTCCAATGGCATAACCTTATGACGAAAAATCTTTATTATCAGTGAAATCGTTCCCTTCTTTCTCGTGGATGGATACGCGACCAATTCAGTGACTGCTTGGCATTTGTTTCGCCCGAAATTCCCTTCCTGGATACGAAGTAGAATAATATTATATACGAAAATGGGTAAAAAAATTGGGTGAAAAATTACCGTCCTGTAATCGAACTGATAATGGAATATTTCTGTTTCATTCATGTTAAAACATTCTCATCACATTATAGAATGATGTTGCATAGTTCTATGAGTTTCGTAATTATACAGCTTCTATTTTGACAAACATATTATTTCGTTGACCATACCTTGTGCCTGAGCAGTGCAGGGCAGTGTTTTTCAACGAATGGCCCACGAACCCATACAGGTAAGCAGCTTAATTTATGCCGGTCCGCGTATTATAATTAGCACATTAGACAGTGTACTCCACCGAGAAAAAAATTTAACTACACGGGACACAGACTGTCCGGCCTAAGGATTTTCGTGGTTTCACTAAGTCTCTCCAGGCAAATGAAGGAATAATATCTGTGTCAGTGTGCGACGGATTCCTTCAAAAATCGTTTCCAAGTCATATACCATCGTGCCGTTCGCCAACATATAATCTAGCTATGGATAGTGTCGTTAAATAACCCACAGATATCGATTTTTACCTAAGGGAAATATGTGCCAACTTAAATTATTTCTTACACTTCCTTACCAAATTTTAGTTTCGAATATTCAGCGTGGGTGATTATGTCCCTTGTAATGGGATATCGTCTGAGGGCCACATTTAAACCACTGCCTTTTGCACGGAAAGACATCCTCCTTCCTATGAAAAGCAAGTCTCCAAGTAGCTAGTTCAGGATACGTGGGCTGCAGGTCTCCTTAAACCAACCATGATCCCAGAGCGCCAGTCTCCGAAGATCTTATATGCTTAAAAGGGGAGTACTTCAGTTTCCGTTCAGTTATTAAGATTTTTGTTTCTATTTGTAAATTGTTTAAGAGTAAAACATATATGCAGGGAGGTGTAAATTTTGTCTCTGTCATCAGAACAGAAATGGCAAAAATTCAAATGGAGGACATGTAGGAGTACCGCTCTAACTGATTCTAACAATTCATACATCGCCCTTTACCTTTACTCCAACAGAGTGTTGTTACTGAGCGAATTAATAATCCCTACCTGAGACGTTTTCTCTTCTCGGCAAGGGCGAACATGCTGTTCAGGTTGGAGGAACTACTATTCTCGCGGGTTGGAGGGTTTCCTTCTGTTGGGAACAAGTCACTGGCCTCCTCCTCTTGGATTTCGCCTTCTTGACGACTGTCCTCATGGTTTTCTTCACATCCCACAATGAAATTCACCTTCTCCTGCTGCTGAGCAGTCGTTATTGTTTTTCCGCCGCCCTCCATTGTCACAGGCGCCGGGGCACAACCTGTCACAAAGATTGAATTCAATTCTTTATTTATTTAAGTACTGATTTCAACAGCCTGTGTGGCCAATTACAGAGTCAGCATGGATACAAACAACAACAGCTACAAGACAAACACATGGACAAAATAAACAAAAGAAACCAAGAACAAGCGAAGAAAATTGATCAGTTAAGGTCGTTAATATTTGAACATGAATTTTTAAAAATATATGTAGATTTACGAACTATATTTACAGCAGGAACACGTCCACCTGGACAGTGGCTAGAGGAGCAACTGAACATGGTAAAGATACATATGCTTCAAGTAGGAACACGAATGCCGACTGTTTTGGGAAGAGAGAGCATCATTTATAAACATTTACTAAGAATAAAGCATCAGAGCGATGCCGCCTGATATGTAGTGTCTGCAAATGAAAATCCGCGTTCCTAGAGAGGACATTTCCAGGAAGATGGATCGGCAGAAACGGTCCAACGCCTTGGCCTCCACGTTCACCAGATGTAATACCACTCGATTTTTTCTTCTGGGGTTATGTCAATAGCAGTGTGTTCCGAACACCAGTTAACGGACTTGATGACCTGAAGACCCGTATCAGGAATGCGATCTCGGCTATTCCAGCGGATATGCTCCACAGAACATGGCAAGAGCTCGAATATCGTCTGAACGTTCTCCGTGCTACCAAAGGAGCCCACACCGAGGTGTATTAAACTCAGTAAAAACTTCCGGAGTTTCACTATGATCTGCCGAAAACCGCACGTGACTAGCTCAATTTGTTTGCGCGCCACAATTTATCAAAACCCCGAAGGAACTTTGTGCACACTGTATAAAATCATGACATGAACTACGTATACTGAATCCCCTGAATATGGCATCCATGCCAGACATTCAATTAATAACGATGATGTAATAATCTACGTCACTACTTAATGATGTTTTAGGACGGCTGATGTAACATGCACATGTAATTCCTCCTCATAACACTGTTCTATATATCCCGCTGTTTCTGAATGTATATGCCTCATGGTTCACAGTAGGTCCATAAAAAACAAAAAAACAAAAACAAAAGCGAACTATATCGACCGAGCGACCGCCTCTGGCCGGCGAAGTTAGTGCCAACTTTAGCGGACAGAGAGTGTCGCGTGGTAAGAGCAACGAATCCCCACAGCCGTTAATCTCGGTTTTCTAGACCGGAGCCGCTATTTCCTTGAAATAGCACCTCAGTTTTCGTCACGAGTGAACCCCGTTCCAGACCCACTACTTCTCAGAAAATCTGGTAGCGCCGGGAATCGAACCCGGGACCTCTAGATCTGTAGCCAGGAACTCGGACCACTAGACCACACAGGTGGTCAATTATTATGTACCATCACACAATAATGTTAATCGACGTTAAGGTCAAAATTTTCGAAATGTTTTACATTATACAAAAACGAATACCTAACACAAACTGCATATTTTCGAAGATCTGTTACCATATATCATTTTGGACCAAATATTTAAGTAATGCTAGTGGCACTCCAGCCTGAGATCTTCGTGAATCTGTCATTTTACGTTACTGGTTGTAGAAAATTAAAAGGTACAAGGCCTCATATTGCATAACTTTCAATCGGTCACTATGTTAAAAAGGGGATACAAAGAAAATAAAGAGCTCTAGTAAACAAACAAACTCCGTGGTTCCAGTCCGCAAGCGAACTATACCGACCGAGCGACAGCCGCTTGTCGGAGAAGTTAGTGCCAACTTCATCGGATTGAGGGTGTCGCGTGGTCAGCGCAACGAACTGCAAACTCCTCGAATACGCAGACGTTGCGGCAGTTTATTCAGTTAACAGATGTAGCAGAATTGGCGTATCGGAGGTGGAAAAGAGCATACAAAGCATTGAACTTTATTTAAAGTAAAGTGGCTTGGAAATAGCACCCAAAAAAATGTCAACTGTGTATCTTCGATAACCAAATGGACAACTGATGGAGAGTGGGAGATCACGGTACAAGGGGAAAAGGTTTCTTCAGTCAAATCAATAAAATTTTTAGGTCTGCACTTAAAATCTAATCTAGACTGGAAGGACGAAATAAACGCAATTGCTAGAAAATGAGAAAACACGATGATAATCGTGAATTGTGTGAAGCACACTTGGCGGGAAGCGAACCCTGTAATTTTAATGAGACTCTACAAGGCACTTATAAGGTCGGGGATGGAATATGGAGCATTTTTAGAAGAAACAAGCACAGAAGCTTGAGATGATACAATATAGGGCAATACGTGGAGCACTGGGCTGAAGGAGGAGCACCCTGACCAATGTAATGCTAGCAGAAGCCAAAGAAATCCTAATTTTTAGTAGATTCAAACAGTTGGGAAGGAACTATGTGTTCAGGTGTTACACGTCAACCAACCGTCCAATGATCCAGCTGCTGGAAGAATTATCAGCTCTAGATGACAATCCAGGAAGGAGAAAATGAACAACCACTTATCAACGAATATTACAAAGAGGTAACCCCTCTCGGTCATTTAATCCAATCAGGGAACTATCGCCTGGTATTCGACTACACATACGGAAGCATCTTCTACGAGGCCAGGGCATCTTTCGATGAGGGAAGACAAACAAAGGAAGCAGAAGATCACAACAAGGAATTCAACAAAATTTTCCAAGAATGAATGAGAACCAGCAAATGTTTCGCCACGGACGGCTCAAAAATGGAGGACAAACCATTCGTAGGATTCGCATCGATAGATATAAAAGATGGTCGTAGCATGAAATTTAGGATAGCTAAGATAGCGTCAATATTCACGGCGGAAGCATTAGCAATTGCCGAAACACTAGATATCACTGAAAAAATAGAATCCGAGCAAAACTTCATGATCTTCTCGGACTCGGCAAGCGTGTTAAAAAGCATTAGTAACCCCACTATAATAAGCAACACATTGCACATATCTTCTGGGACTGTAAACAGTACAAGGACCAAAGGGCCACAATGATGGACATCTTGTCTGAGAACAGCGAAAAGAATTACCCAGAATCAGTTACAGAGCTCTTAAGGCTAGAAGAAAAAAGATTTCTGCAAGGCGTCTACGAGTATTTCATCAACAATATTCCTATATTTATATAAAATAGATATGTAAGAAAAGTAAAAAGAAGTAATTGCACTGATTATTTACAGTATACACAAGATTTAAGTCAAGATCTATATTAACAATCGCGGGACCACCGCTATTATAGAATAAGATGGGTATTAGAATGTGCTACAGAAGGGCGGATGGGCTTTGCCTGGGCCTCTTTTGTATTTACATTCTTCTTCTTATAATTAAAAAAAAAAACCCACTGCCTTTAATTTCGGCTTTCTAGACCGGAACCGTCATTTCCTTGAAATAGCTCCTCAAATATACTCACGAGGCTAACAAGCTATTTATTTTCTTTAAAAAAGGAAAGTCAGTTACAAATGTATCGTACGAAAGGTCAGAACGTTTATTATTATCCCCAACATGAAATCCCCTCTTATTATGAAACCCGAAAGTTCATAACTTCATCACAAAAGTTCGTCATTGCTCTTGCTCGCATCTTCGCATTCTATATTTCCAACATCCGTTTCAACACGCATCCCCATCCACGCCATTTCCGGATGATTTCTTTCTATTACTTTCTCCAATCCATACGTTCTATGCATTTATTGGTTCGCCCATGCGTGTCGCATGTACCGGCCGTCCGATTCTTCTTGTTTTAATCAGACTAACATGAGACAAGAATAACTCAGTGTCTTTAGTCCGCAAGAGAACTATACCGACCGAACGACCGTCGCTTGAAGGCGAAGTTAGTGCCAACTTTAACGGATAGAGAGTGTCGCGTGGGCAGCGCAACGAATCCCCACGGCCGTTAATTTCGGTTTTCTAGACAGGAGCCACTATCTTCTTGAAATAGCTCCTCAATTATCCTCACGAGGCTGAGTGGACCCCGTTTCAGACCCACTACTTCTCAGAAAATCTGGTAGCGCCTGGAATCGAACCCGGCACCTCTTAACAGTAGAAAATATTTAATTTTAATAAATGACTCCTGCCTTACGCAATTCCACCGTTTTCACACAGGAAGTACTGACGACAGAGTTATGGCAACATAGCCAAGAAATCTAACGTGAAAAATCTGGGCTACATTTATGTCCTGTTTTTTTTATGTACTCGTATAGAACGACACAAATTCCCTAACTAACTAATTCCCTATTATTTTTCTTCATTTCTCGGCAATTTAATTTCCCTTTGGTCCGAATATCCTCTTCATCACTATGTTCTTCAGCTCCTTGTGTTCAGTATGCTAACATAACGTCCTCTTGCATTATCAGAGAAGAGTTACCTGGGTTTGCAGTAAGAAAGACGTCACCGCAGCAAAAGGCAAGACCCTATTTTATGCCACAAGTCTACGTCAGGCACATGCGAACACTGAGAGAACCCTGCCACATTTAGGTTCAAGAACGCCACAGGAGATAAGAGCATAGACACGTAATCCTGAGTGTCGACTGATCTTAGCATATGAACGACATACTCGTACGAGTATTTCCTTCTACCACCCATAATTCTGTCGCAGTGATTTCTAAACTGTAGGTGGTGGACTTCTGAGGTATAAACTACCTTCATATGTACTTGAAAAGCCGATTACAGTGGCCGCGCATCTAAGACATGAACTGTCTTCGCTCGCTGGAATGTCGAGATCGTGGGTTCGAATCCCACTCAAGACATGGATGTCTGTGTGCATTTATTCTGTGTGTGTGTAGGTAGCCTCCGCACAATACGCTTTACCCTGGACCTTCCGTGTTCTAGAGATGATTCAAAGCAGAGTGAGTGATGCAAACCTTCTCGAAGATATTTAGTTGTTAACATTGGGAGTCTATAGACGACAAAACAGGGAACTGATGACTAAAAGCGACTCGGAATTAATGAGCTAAATTCACACTAACAAGCCAACAAAGGCTCCAGTTATGTACAGTAACATCCGCTGCATCTGATTTGTGAGGGAGTACAACTGAAGCG